AGGCGGAAAGAGTAAAGAGAAGGCAGAAAGAGGAAAAAGAGAGAGAGACCTTTTGCTGAACGGCAGTCTGTCCTTGGGCAACCTGGGGCTGGATGGCTTTCTGCTGCTGGGCTGCCTGGTGGTGGTGCTTGAGCTTCAAGAGCTGCTGGACGTGCAGCGGCTGGGCCACCACGGTCTGCCCTCCTGCATGGGACGAAAAAAGAGAAGGGGGGGTTGCTTAGTGGGGCTCCTTCCAAGACAATGCCTGGGAGGATTCCCAAGGGATGCCCTCTCTCAAAAGGCTAGCGCTCAAGGGCATCCAGATGAAGCAAATGGGCAGTAGGCTCAAGACGGACAAAAGGAAAGACTGCTTTACACAGAGAGTGATTAAAAGGTGGGATTCGCTGCCAGAGAATGTAGTGGTGGTCACAGGAATGCAGAGCTTGAGAAGGGGATTAGACAGATTCATGGAGGCTATCGGTGGCTACTAGCCCTGGTGACTGAGAGGAACCTCCATGTTCAGAGGCACTAATCCTCTGAATCCCAGAGTCAGGAGACAACATCAGGGGAAGGCTTCAGCTTTTCTCAGTTACCGAACACCGCTTCCTGCAATTGAATGTAGAAAAGTCCTGAATTTTAATTTGGAGGATTTTCAGAGAGTTTCCAACTCAGCAAGCCTAAGTGTCAAGAAAATGCATCCATCCGCAAAGAGCATGGGACCCACAGCTAATGATTCGCACTGCTACAAAACGTATGAGTCACTGACCCTTGGGAAAAGGACAGAGCCCTCCCCCACGAGTTTGTGCAAGACTCTTTCTGACAGGTGACTGTGGGGGAACCTAAGCCCTTGACGCTGCAGCGTCGCGGCCACGGAGATTCTAACCCTGAAAACTGAGCTCAGGGTGTTCCAAGGCAATGCTAGGAAAGGCCATTTTTTAAGAACTTCTTAAATGAGTCACTTTGGGACTCACGTTGTGTACGCCTTCACGGTACGTTGCCCAGCTCTGTGTCTATGCACAGATTTTGTGACTCTGAAACATCAGCTGTGCGGATCCATGTCAGAGCACAAGGAGGAAGAGAGGAGGAGTTCACCTTTACTAGAGATCTGCAGCCCAACAACTGACTGGTTGGTGCAAACAGATACAGGACATTCAGGTTCTTTCCCCTGATCACCTGTTTTGTATTTCCTGTTCCCCCTTTTAAGGTTGCCGGATGCCAGCGTGAAAATGACAGAAGATACAGCTGGCAGAAAACCTCTGGGCAGAAGCTAGACTCTCTACATGCCAGCATCCCTCTTCCCTGACACTCGTCTCCCTCTCCTGATTTTTAAAGAGCTGCGACGTCTTCTTCACCGTTCTTCCCTTGCTGGCCCCTTCTTGCCTCAATTTCCTATCTCCACCATTTCCCTCAAGCTGCCGAACCGGCACCGGCTTCTTCTCTCTCAGTCCATCGTCCCATATTCGGAGCTTTCCCCTGCCTCGTTCCTTAGCCAGCCTCCCCAGCCCTGCCCGCTTCCCAAGTCCTCATCCTGCCTCCGTTTGACATTTCAATCCCAGCCAAAGTGACCGTTTCCCCTGCCGTCACAGAAGCTGGACTTCGATCTGTTTTAAGTTCGGCTGACCGCAGAACGTTCTGTGCCACCAATTCCTTGCAGCCAATCCGTGTCTTTGCCCCCGAAACTGCAGCAAAAAGCAGGTCTGCTTCGTGGGGTTCTTGTAGCATTGCTCTCAGGGAAGAACGAAAGCTGAATCAAAAAGCCTTAGAATTGTTCCATTTTTCTTCTCCATCCCCCCCAGACACCCTGAATTTCAGGAAACTGTTGAGATACCTGCTGCCTTCTGCGGCTGCCCAATGGCAACGCTAATCCCGGCGACAGTAACGGCGAGCGTGGTGACTCCTGCGGACGATACCACGGCAGCCGGCACAGACACGACCGGAGGTTTCGCCAGAGCCACCTGGGCCGCTTGCGGCGTCTGGGCCTGGATCTGACCTTGCGCTTGAAGCTGGGAAGCAGCAACACGAGTCTAAGCAGTAAGGAATTAAGATTAAGTTCGGCTGACCGCAGAACGTTCTGTGCCACCAATTCCTTGCAGCCAATCCGTGTCTTTGCCCCCGAAACTGCAGCAAAAAGCAGGTCTGCTTCGTGGGGTTCTTGTAGCATTGCTCTCAGGGAAGAACGAAAGCTGAATCAGAAAGCCTTAGAATTGTTCCATTTTTCTTCTCCATCCCCCCCAGACACCCTGAATTTCAGGAAACTGTTGAGATACCTGCTGCCTTCTGCGGCTGCCCAATGGCAACGCTAATCCCGGCGACAGTAACGGGGAGCGTGGTGACTCCTGCGGACGATACCACGGCAGCCGGCACAGACACGACCGGAGGTTTCGCCAGAGCCACCTGGGCCGCTTGCGGCGTCTGGGCCTGGATCTGACCTTGCGCTTGAAGCTGGGAAGCAGCAACACGAGTCTAAGCAGTAAGGAATTAAGATTATTGCACAGGCATACAGAAGAGAGGCCGAGTCGCTCGGGGGACAAGAAGCGGTGGAGAGAGAGGGAGGCCGGTGGTTGAGCCCCAGCTTCACACACAGAAGGCCCCAGATTCAGTCCCAGACACTTAATGGAGAAAAGAGACAATCCAGAGGCTGTAGAAAAGTTTAGAAGTCCAGTAGAGCCTTAAAGACCAACAAAAATTTGAGCTTTTCATGAGTCACTGCGCACTTCTCCAGAGGCCGTATGTTTATTTCCCAACAACAACAACAAAAATTGCCATGTTTGAGACTCAGGCTCTTCAAAATGGGCTGGCTCCAAATAAAAAGATCTCAACTACCAGGAAAGCTCTTGCTGTGCACAGGACCCTGGAGAATCAGTGGGAGAGGACAGCACCGAGTGAGTAAGTCTGAATTAAAAATACATCCTCCTTATGCAAGGAGAAGCCTACGTGCCCCACAAGAGTACAAAGCTCTTGACTCTCCGGCAGGGCGATGGGTGTAAATCTTCTGACAATACTCAGTAAGAATATATGCATCAGGGACCTCCTTAGAAGCGACAGGATGGTTGGCACTGGGATGGAGCTGAAATCCCCCCTAAATCCCACATGGAGGAGTGCTGCCTCTTGATTTAGAGCTTCTCTCCACCTGGCCACTAAGCATTAAAAGCGAAAGGGAACCACCCTCTCGGGTTCATGCTGCTTTCTTGAACCGCCGCCCCAATTACAGCCACGTGGGAGGTACCCCACGGAGATGCTCACTGAGGAAAAACGGGCAACTCACCAGGCGAGCGACCTGAAGGTTGGTGACGGTGGTGCCCGTCAGGACTGCCCCGGGCCTCGGTGCCGCGACCGCTGTGAGCTGCTGGGGCTGCTGCTGCACTTGGACTTGCGTGCTCTGCTGCGGGGCTCCTGCCTGCGCTTGCTGCTGGGCGGCCTGCTGCTGGGGAAGCTGCAACTTCTGCTTCTGCAACTTGATCAGCTGCTCCTGGAAGGAGACCACGGGACAAGCCCCCCGCCCCTTGCCATCAATGACTCTGGTGCCCGGAAAGAGAGTCTCGGCTATCGAAAGCTGCTCTGAACACACGGGGGAAGGGGGATCTTGCCTCGGGGACATGTTCTGGGAGCAGCGGGGCTTTCCGCTTGCAGGTGGCAGAACAGCCTCTCGCGGCAGGGAAAGGCCTCTTGAGCCAGACTAATATGACTAAGCCGGACTAATGATGATTGAGGCTTTTGCCATTGTGGGCTGTTAAGGCGCAACTGATTCATGACAACCCCCAGACCACGGGGAAGAGATCAGCGGAGGTGGTTTGCCATGGCCTGCCTCTGCACACCAAACCTGGACTTCCTTAGTGGTCTCCCATCCAAGTATTAAACATGGCTGACCCTGCTTAGCTTCCAAGCTCTGATGAAACAGGGACAGGCTGGGCCATTTGGCTGCTCTGAAAGTTTTTACTTTTCAATTACTACACATTTAATGTGCTTGGGGATTCAGACCTTGCAAACGAATGACAGCTCTTTCAGTTCCAGGCACAGAGGCAAGGACAAACCACAGTTGCTTACGAGACGAATTTGGACATCACAGCAATGTGCAATTTGTAACAAACCCAGGAAGCGAAAGAGGCTGGAGAGCCATGAGTGGACTCTGTGAGGCTCCTCCTCTCCAGGAACAAGCCACATTTTTTTTTCATGTTGACGCCAGAACAAAGCATGAAAGGCAGCACAGATTTGCTGTATGGATCCAAACATTCAGGAAAAAATTCAAGGAGGTTAGTAGGGCCCACTGCCAAGTTGACGCTTTGTATTAGATTATATTCTTTATTGAGTCTTATGTTTTAGTGTCTTATTTCCATTATGCAGACTGCCCAATGAACTGAGCTGATCCCCAGAATTCACGGCTGGTCACAAAATTCATATTTTCTTTGTGCAGAATTTGGGCAGGTCTATTCCGCCCACAAAGCGGGTTCCCCCCTTCTCTCCAAAGCACAAAATACAAGACTATGAATGAGTTGAACTGGGGGGAAGCAATATAGTTTCCTAAAAACCACTGCAGAAGCACAAACCACCATCCATTCTCTGATCGCCTCTAGCTGTTAATGAAGCATTGTGGTTTAATGTTTACAGTAAGATGTGGGTTCAAATCCACTCTGGCCATGAAGCTCAGCGGGTGACCATGGGCCAGTCCTTCCCAGAGCCTAACCTACCTCTCAGGGTTGTTGGTGAGGTTAAAAAGGGGGAACAAGAGACCCATATGCTCACATCAAAATGCACTAAATAGAAACACAGTGCTGAGAGCAGCAGTCAAATCCAGGTGCAGGATTTCGTTCCTCCAGCTCTTGAGCTTTGAAAGCAACACCAGTTGAGTGACTCTGTGCAGAGAAACTAACGCAACGCTTCAGACCGTGGCGACGTGACTTAAGGGGCGCCACCCTCACCTGCGACAGCTTCCCCACCGCTTTGATCTGGGCCGGCGACTGGGCCTGGCCTTGGCCCTGGATCTGAGGGACCTGGACTTGTGCTGCTGCCTGCTGCTGCTGCCGCAGGATCTGGAAGTGAGCCTGGGACAGCGTCTTCCCCGAGAGCTGAACGCCTGCTGGAGCGGCTGAAGAGAGAGAAACATGGGGGAGAATCAGAGCTCTCAGACTGGAGAAACATACGGCAAGGTGTAGAGGGAACACTGTGTCTGGGGCAGTGATGTTCTGTGTTCTTGGTGCTTGAGGGGGGCACAGTGGGAGGGCTTCTGGAGTTCTGGCCCTGCGGGTGGAGCTCCTGATGGCACCTGGGTTTGGCCACTGTGTGACACAGAGCATTGGACTGGAGGGACCCATTGGCCTGATCCAGCATGGCTTCTCTTATGTTCTTAAAAACAGCTTCAAGAGGGGATTGGATAAACATATGGAGCAGAGGTCCATCAGTGGCTATTAGCTGCAAGGTGTAGGGGAATACTCTGTCTGAGGGCAGTGATGCTCTGTGTTCATAGTGCTCGGGGGGCAAGAGTGGGAGGGCTTCTGGAGCTCTGGCCCCACTGGTGGGCATCCTCTTGGCACCTGGGGTTTGGCCACTGTGTGACACAGAGCGTTGGACTGGAGGGGCCATTGGCCTGATCCAACATGGCTTCTCTTAAGCTCATATGTACACTGTAATGGTCAGAGTATTGGACCAGGGCCCTAATCCCTGCTTGGGCCGTGAAGGTCATGGCTCTTTCCCTAATCTAACCCAAAAGGTTGCTGGGAGCATAAGGTGCCGGAGAACCACGTGTGGTTAGAAGTTAGTGGTTAGAGGACTGGCCTAGGATCTGGGTGGCCCAGGTTTAAATCCTTGCTCTGCCACTGAAGCTCACCAGGTGCCTTTGGGCCAGTCACGCTCTCTTAGCCTAACCTACCTCCCAGGTTTGTCACTATGAGAATAAACTGGGGGGAGGGAGAACGATGCAAGCTGTTTTGGGCACCCACTGGGGGCAAAGACAGAGTATAAATTAAGTAAACTCAATCAATAAATATGCCACCTGGAACAATCTGAAGGATGGGACAAATAAATAAGATATGAATAAGACGAAGTGGGGGAAAAGATGCTCAAAATTGTCCTCTGGGTGTGGCTAAAGTCTTTAATTCAGATGCCTGAGACAGCTTTCGGGACTGAAGATTCATCATGAGTGAAAAGGTGGAGCCCATTCCTTCCTCCTCTCCAGACATCCTGTTCCCCAACCCAGGAACAAGAGGACTTAAATCCTTCCCTAGTGGCCTTCCAGGAAAAAAGGAGAGACTAGCTAGGATATTATTTGCTTATTTATGTAAACGTTTTGGTCCCATTGTCCCTTCTGCTTAGACACTCCAAAGAGACACAAGCTCCACAAACACCACGTGCTCACTGCCATCGCTTGAAAACCAGAAAGACGGAAACAGAAGAATTTTATGGTCAGTCTAACAGAAAACGAACAACAGGCAGAACAACATTCTAGCTCAAATCACAATTGAAATACTGAAAAATTAACACTCTTACCTGGCGTGACCTGAGTAACCAGAGATCTTGGCTGAGTCTGAACCGGGGTCAGGTTGGTGGTTACCACAGCCGATGCCGTCACAGAGGTGACAGCTCGGACCCCTGGAGTCGACGCTAGGGTCACCAATTCTGTCGAGGCAGCGGGCGTGGTGCCTGTCCTCTGTTGGGTGTGTACCACCTGGGCCGTGGCCGCACCGCCGGAAGCCTACGGGAGGAGGAAAGATATGAAACCTCACAGCTTCCTAGTGGATCAGTTCAGACATCACACCAAGAGACAGCTGGCATTTTCCACGTGCAAAAAAAACAGACAGCGGCTTATCTGCCTTGCTCTTTCTAAAGTTCAGTGCTCAGTGTCACAAATTCACTCACACACTCATGGCATAATAGCCTTTGGAGGAGGAATGGCCGAAACCGTGGCTTGCCGATTCAGACGTCATGCCGAATCCCTGTTACCAAAACAAGCCAATGGTTTGCAAACCCATAGTTACCGATGCTAGATTGCTGGCATACTGCAGAGCGTGGCTTGTCAGTTCAGACATCAAGCCACACCCAAGTTAGACTTCCTTAGCCATGATTCGGTGTGACATCTGAACTGAGCCCACATCTTGCATTTGCACTCTCTCTTTTGGAATGATTCTCAGAGATCTGGAAACGTTTCATCAAGATGGGTCAGTCACCCGACGACAGAAACTGAAAGCTAGCTTGTGTGTGTGCATTTTAATGTCCCATTTTTATTAAAGATAAAAAGCCACAGCATGACTGCAGAACGAAACTGCTGTCGGGCGAATGAGTGTGCAACGCAATGCTAAATTATGTCCCAATAAGTCTATTTCTGAGCCGTTGTTTACAGAAAATCCCATAATGCTCCAATTAATACTGACCAAATACCAAGGACCTAGGCAGCCAAATACTAAACAGGACTCTACTTATTCTTTAATTCTGGACATTCTGTCCACATCCACACGTTATTTCAAAAAGCCTTCATCGCTGCAAGGATAGATGTACCTCCCTTTGGCCAGCACAGGGCTACCGTATCTCCTGCTGGCTACTCCTGATTTACAGCACACCTCCCCTACGAACAAGAAGGCAAGGATACCAGCCTTCTGACGGCACAGGCCCTGGCCAGGATTGGCCAACCTTGTCCCAGCTTCTGTTTGGACCCAAACCGGAAAGTGTACTTAGCATTTGTTTGGAGCCCTGGCCAGAAGCTCTCAAGTTCGCAGAAATCCCAAGGAAACGATAAGCGAGATCCAGGCTTCCTTAGAATGAGATTTTAATAAGTCATCAAACTTACAGAAATAGCAGGCGAAGCTTCCATCCACTGGGGCCTGAACACACACAGCGAAGCTAGCCAGAATGCGAGATGAGATACACAGCTAAAACTAAACACCTTATACCCTAATTGCCGGCTACATCCCTAAAAGCCAAGTCATTTCTTGCACGTGGTACTCATTGGGAGAGGAAAATAAGTCAGGTTTCTAGATAAGATCTCGGGAGAGTGTGAATCTAAACATTCCCTTGGGAGCAGCCTGCTGGCCACCCTCTCAGGCAACTAGACCTCAGGGACTAACAGAACTCCAAAACGAGGTTACAGAGGTTATACAGCATCACCAGTCCTCCTCCTCCTCGACTCCCACATCTGTACAGATGCACACACACGTCACAGATTCCTTCCATGAAGCTGCCATTTGCCAATACATGTCCAAAAAAGAATCCCGGGTTTCCTTTACTTTTACAAGGTGACACAACCGCCCCCAATCCAACAACCACACGACTGAAGGAGTGTCCCATTTTCAGTGCATGATTGTTCCCTGGTCACTGATGTCCCTTGTCAATAGCTTTTGCATGGCCCCCTTCTAACTTCTTTAGAGGGTCTCCATCTGCCACTGACCTAACTCAACGCGGAAATTACACTTGGCACAATTCAAGGTACTCACCGCCAGCGTCCCAGGGATTACAGGCGATGCCAGCCGTTTGTTGATCGGCTGAAAGGTCGCGGCAGGGGCTCCGGGCACCGTGTTCACAATAACGTTCCCACTCACAGTAGCTGAAAGCAAAGCCAAGGTCACTCGGGGACCACGACACGAACGAGCATCCTGGGTTTCATTTCCTCATCACCCACCATGCTCCGGTTTACCAGGTACCACTTACCCGTCTGAATGCTTGTTCCAGTCACCGATGTTTTCATTGTACCAGCCTGGTTTAAAATGCAAACAAACTCAAATGAGAAACTGAATTGATACTGTGTAGATTCACAGAACTACATAATCACAAGTGCCTTAGGATGTGGAATGTGTATCGTGCATTGCTGCTGTGCCCATCTTTTAAACTGTTTTAACTGTCTTTACTGCTTAATATTATTTGTCTATTGATGTAATTTATTGCTGCAATCTGCCCTGAGCCCACTCGCGGGAAGGGCGGGATATAAATCTAAATAAATAAGCAGCAGAAGCCACTTCTGTGAACTCAGACGGGCAGTATAAAAGCACGACTGTCTATGTGGCCTTTGTGGTCAGAAAATAACGTAAGAAGACAGCTACAGGATCAGAGCTGTGATCCATGTAGCCCAACACCTTGTTTAAGAACATAAGAGAACATAAGAGATGCCAATGTTGGATCAGGCCAAAGGCCCATCCAGTCCAACACTCTGTATCACACAGTGGCCAGAAATACCAGGTGCCATCAGGAGGTCCACCAGTGGGGCCAGGACACTAGAAGCCCTCCCACTGTTGCCCCCCCCCAAGCACCAAGAAGACAGAGCATCACTTGCCCCAGAGCCCCTATTTATACCTTGTGGCTAATAGCCACTGATGGCTGAACAGAGGTTCCTTCCACCATCATGGCTAATAGTGATGCTGTATTTGCAGATGAACAGAAAAGACAGGTTGCTTACCTGTAACTGGTGATCTTCGAGTGGTCATCTGTGCATTCACACCCTTGGGATACTCTGCGCCTGCGCTGACCTTCTCGGTACCGATAGCTAGCAAAAGGGATTTTCGCGCCTCTCCCAGGTCACGCGCCGGCTCCACTGCGCATGACCAAGGAGGGGCACGCAGATCCCGCCAGTTCCTTCTGACCGCCGCCCAACAGCCTTCAAAGAAACAAGATGAAGGGCCGAGAGCAGAGGGGAAGGAGGGCGGGTGGTGTGAATGCACAGATG